TTTTGACATCACTAGTTTTCACTATAACCGGTTATTTCTATTCCAACAAGTCGAAAATGCCAAATATTCTATCGTTGGTTGATAAAAGACACCTCAAGAGTGTTACCCTAAAACAAGGAAAAAAGGCAGAAAAAAGAAAGAAGAAATTGAAATAAATTAAAAAAACAGCCACCTGAGCTTCATTTTAGGCTGTCTTTTTGGAAAATACGATACAAAAAGGAAAATTATTACAACTAAAACAATGATAATGTTGCTAAATTATATTTATCCAAAGAAGGGTAAGTTCTTTGTAGCTTCACGCAGCTAAATTCATACGTCCTTTTTTGTCTTTTATTCTCATAATCTTTTATATTATATTTCAAATTGGCTTACATCATTGGTGATGGAATGATAAGTCAAACATATAGTCAAAGGTAGCTGAATAAAAAAAATTTATTTAATATTCAAACACAAATAGAAGAAAATAATAGCCAAACAATGACAAGTGAGACTTGCTCACCTCCACCATCTATTGTTGTTTTGGATTCAAGTCACGCTGGAGGGTAAGTACGAAAATACTATAGATCATCCTAAACTTGAAGGGAATTTTTACATCTCTTTCTTCCTCACTTTCCACCCTTTCTTCTGTTTTTGAGGCTTCTTTCAGTTTCTTAGTAAGAATGGGTGAGGGTATTCTGCCTAAATAGTAGACACAGGTAATAAATAAGAGAATACTAAAGATCCGAGCCATAGAATTTCTCAATTCTAACACAAGGTACTTATTAGATCGAATGTATTTATTCGATCTAATAGAATGATTTTGCCGTATCCAGACTAATACCAATCCAAGCCATTTCATGAATAAAATGTGACCAATTAACCAACGAACAAAACCACTTGTTACAAATAAGATCTTGCTGTTGCATCGAAAGAGATAAATGTTGACTAATCTGGCTAACATTGAATTTGGTAAAATGAAATGGTTGATTAAAAAAAAAAAAAACCAAACCATGAAACATTTCCTTCAAATTACAAAGATGAAAAGTAGATAAAATGAAGAAAAAGAAAATAAAAAACAGCCGCCCACGCTTCATTTTAGGCTGTCTTTTGACATTATAACCCAAAAGGGGAAAACTATTACAACTAACACAATGATCATGTTGCTGCATTATATCCACATAAGGGTTACTTCTGTGTAGCTTCACGCAGCTAATTTGCACATTATTTTTTGTTCTTTTATTCTTTTAAATAATGTTGGCCTTGCTAGGTATGAGCAGAGGTAGATAGCGGCATAGGAAATATTTGGGAGAGGTGATTAGTCAGGACATGTCGTGACTCCAACTCACAAATGACATTAGATAGGAAGGTTTGGAGGGGAGTATAAAGGTCCTAGGTAATTGGCGATTTTCTTCCCCGTTGAGGGTGTTAGGCTATTTGTTAGTGTCTTGCTTTAGTTTGATAGTGGTATTTATTGCGTTCGTACTGTTTTTCTGCTTCGGTTTTTCAGTACCTTTCCATTGTTCTGATTATCGATACTGCCTTTTCTATTTATTTTTTGATTCTTAGGTTGCTGGCATTGTCTTCCTGACATATGTTGTTGTTACTGCTCCATTGCCTCTTTTTCATCTCCTTGTGACAAGGATCTTTCGGAAACAACCTCTCTATTCCTCGTAGGGATAAGGTCTGCATACACACCACCCTTCCCTGGGTTGTTATTGCTGTTGTTGTATTCTTATAAATAATCTTTAAAGTTTTTCTTTTCAAGACAAAGCTTACGTACTTCATTAGTTCATTGGTTACAAATGCAAAGTTAAACATATACTCCATATAGTCATAGACAGCCGCCTAATATTATAGTGTCATTTTTTCTTTTACTTCTTTTTTCCTTTCAAGTGAGGGGAATTTTTCATTTTTCCTCATCAATTTTTTCTCTTGTTCATATGTATAAAGATCAATTATCAGTAATTTCCGGGTTATATGTTACGTAATTGTGATGACTTGTGAATTAAGTATAAATATATAATTTTTAATTAATAAACTTTTCCGACAGCTGCTGCTTTGTATGTGTTGCCTGCTAACTTCTCGGTCTTTTTCAAGAAAAAAAAAATGAAAAGAAAAAAAAAATACAAGTGTGTTTGATATGATGAACGTTATGTTCTATAGAATATGTTTTTCATGAAATTTTTTTATTTTGAAATATATTTTTTACTAGTATTTAGTTGGTGAGTAAATAATATATTTTAGCATGTTAATTATTGGCAAACCGCGTAATGCTATAGTGAAATATTTGAGTATTATATATAGTTAGAGCAAGTGATATATATGACATGAAAAGCTAAAATAATTTTAAGGTAAGAAAAATTAAAATAGGACAAGCAAATTGGGATGAAACAGTAATAAATACTCTCTAGTCTAATAAATAAAGGTTAATAATCTAAGCACCGAAGTTGTCACTAAGCGTCTTTCTATCGATTTTTTGTACAATTTTTTTTTTACTGTTAAGACAGTGTACACGCACAATGCGCGTATTATAAGACTAGTAACAATATATAAGTGTATATAGTTAGAGCAAGTGATATATATGACATACAAACAACAACAACAACAACGACCCAGTTAAATCCCACAGGTGGGGTATGGAGAGGGTAGTGTGTACGCAGACCTTACTTTTACCCCGAGGGGGTAGAGAGGCTGTTTGCGAACCCTCTGCTCAAGAAGACGAAAAAAGATAATATATCAGTACTATCAACAAAAAACCATAGAACTAATAACAATAACCAGTAAATAGATGGAAAGCAGACACTATGATAACTGAAGAGAAGTGTAAACACAACATGTGCAAATGAAAATGTTTTTGTACCAACACACTTTCGCATCGAGAAAAATAAATAATCAAGACTAGAAAATTGCATAGCAAATGTAGTATTTAATTTCAATAAATAATGAGTGTTATAATCTCTATGGTATTCCTCCGATTCTTCAAGAATGTAAAGTATCTTGATGAGCGTGATTTTGATTTGATTCAAGGGCTTGTAAAGCTTGATCTTGAATCTCCCTCTTGACTTGAATTTGGATTTGATGACGAACAAGTAATTTGATCTTGAACGCCTTGGTATTTGATTTGCCTTCGTTGTTAATCTTGAACTTGAACTTGTAGCTTGAGTGCTTGAACTTGTAGCTTGCAAAGAAAATTGCAGCCTTTGATCTACGAGCTCTCTACGTACTTGCTTCTTGTTCTCAATTCCGGTCCTTTCTAGCTTTATGGAGATCTTTATTTATAGTTATAGTGAATGGTGTCGCCGTGCAATTTGATTGGTCTAGAACTAACCAATGTTATCTAAACACTTGGCACAACTCTATTGGTTGTTGATTTGACTTGGCATGCCATCCTTTTCTTGACACATGGCATGATTTTATAGTCTCATTTATTTGATTTGGATTGCCACATTATTTGACACATGGCATGAGCGTGAGCTTTAAGACGGGCCACTATCTATTTGGACTTTGAGCTTGTAAAATGGGCTTGTCTTTCGGAGTCCAACTAAATGGGCTAGTCCAAATAAAATAGAACTTTCATTTAAATTCATAGTGGACTTAAATTATTAAACTGGATTTGGGCTTGGTATTTTTTAAAGGGATTTTTTCGTTCCTATACACTATTGGAAACTTTATTACCCTAAATGTTCATGTTTACTAAATTACCCTACCTACACAAGTTTTGTTTACAAAATATATACATTCCACCTTAAAAGGCTCTCATACCATTATTAGTACCTTCAATTAAGAGATTTAGTTACACCCTTTACCTTTTGTTTCTCTTCTTCTCTTTTAATATCTTCATTAGTAATAGAAATTATATTGTCACTCGTTCATCTTATGACTAGCTATTCACACTAGCTGTGAATTTGCACTAGCTCATACAATTTGATATCACTTGGTTAGCCAATGTTAGTTTTAGTTGAAATTTCTAGACTATTTTAGACCGATATTATTCTTATTTCTTAATTTTATTTTCAACGTCTTTTCTTCTATAGTTTACATCAAAATTATTCCTTAGTTTTACTTCTTTTTCTTTTTACTTTCTTTCCTTCTTATTTACGGGGAACGTGTAGGTTTATTTTTCACACACAAAATAACTATAACAACCATGATTCTAAGAAAGATAATTTCTATATATCTTAAAATAAGATACCAATAAAAATATTTCTTTTATTACAATTTTGTCTGTTATACTTAGGGTCTATCTATTGTTGATAATAAAAAAATTTAACTAGTTCCTAAATAAAATGTGATATTATTTTATTTAGTGTATGGTTGGATTTTACGGTTTCATGATATCACATTGTATATATATTCAGGGATAAAAATTTCCAATAACAATTTGAAATTTTTATCCTAAAGCTACATCACACATGAGGAAATGTATACAGGAAGAATATCATCTATTTTCATCGTTTTACAGCACACCTACAATACCAAGGACTTGGGAATTTCTAAACTTGAACAAAAATCAATCCCATCACTGTTAACAAAATTTTGACATGGGTCCATTATTTGGAAGACTTTCCTTCACGGGACAAATTTTGAGCAAAACGATTGACATTGAATCTGGGATTAGAAGAAAAATCTGTATATACAAAATCTAAAATTAAAGAGTACGTACTATTCTTTTTGCTTACAAGCTGAGCATATTTTTAGGATTCAAACGAACAAATCTACAACCTATCTACAACTTTTATACATTATTTCTACTCAGTTAATACGACCAGAATATCATACAACTTAATTACAATTGTTATACAAGTTTTATACAATATGTCTTTTGTATATTTTGTATCTGATTTATACATAGTAAAAATAAATTTCATACAACTAATTATATATTATACAACTTATCTACAATTTTTATGTAATATCCCCTAAATTTAGACAAGGATATATTGGTCATTAGCAACTAATTTAAAAAAAAAAAAAAAAGAATGAACCAAAAGGGGCCAAGCCCACCAGATGAAAATCTGGCCTAAAGGAAAAGAAAGAATGGGATTAAGGGAAGGGGCGGAAGGCTCATGGCAGGAAACAAAAAAAAAAAAAAAAAAAAAAAAAAAACTTTGGATAGTAAAAGAACTCTAACGCAGGGGAAATTTACGGGCAGCAATGCTTTAAGGGAAAAGAGAAGCTTTTATCAGTAAATTTCAAGAAGGAAGAAGGAATAAAGATTATCAAGCTTCATTGTTGATTCCTACACAAAAAGGTCAATTTTTCCCTTTCTTTGATTCTTCTTCAGTTTCTAGGATTCTTTAAATCCCGATTTAATGTCATGGGATTCTATCATGTATTGAAAATTTAAGTATCAAACAAAAAGAAAAAGATATTATAGACAATATACTATTTAAGTTTTAACTTATACACATGAGTAAAGAAATTGAATAGAACATGGAATTTAACTACATAAATGCCTTCTTTTTTTGAAAAAAAAGAAGATATTGGACTAATTTAAATTACTCATAGCATGGGTAAATATGATTCAGCAAATTAAGAGTCAAATATGATTGAGGGTTGGGTATTCTAAATTAACTAAGCATTAGCCTAAACAAGGAAATTAACACGAGTTCAATGTTGACGTGATTATAGATTGATTGAAGAAAAGTCGTATAGATCGCTCGAGGTGACGAATTTGGTATTTCGAGACGAGTACAGTGAGTAGTAATCTTACCGCAATTTGTGTTTTCATAACTTGCATGATTTACACATGATTTTTAATATGGATATGTTACTGATTATTTTGAGTTGCATGTGGGACAAGTCTTTTACTCGATATGATACTGAAATAGTTATTTGAGATGAATACCGTGGTTTTAAATATTTTCGTTGTCACTAGATCTGTTTTACCGTTACTTGAATTTACTGTTATCGAAAGGAAATTATATGATTTGATAAGAACCGAAATGCCCTATATTGTTTTAAAATAGTTTCTACGAGTATATACGGATTACAGAGACAAGTATAAATGGGAGTAGACATTGAAGGATCCCGTAGCTAACGGCGGGTTCGTTAGACCTGGTGCACCTTGTAATTACCGATTACCGTTATAGCCCTCGCTAGTGGGAAGGTAGAACTAGCATACCGTTACCGATTTCCCTTGAGTAGGGACTACCGTTATATTTGACTTCTTGCGAAGAAGTCCACAGTTATACCGATTACATGATCCATTCATTGAAACCTCCCAAAATGTGAATACTGATATTATACAGTGGTTACCGAGCTTATTACTGAATTGTTAATTATATTTTACTACAAGAAAAGCGTGATGAGACTGAAATAATTTTTTGTTTCTGAAAGGGCAGTTTTTATGTATTTTTTCTTTGAGATACTAGCATGTTTCTGACTTGTCCCCAAATAAAAACGGTTGTGGTTAAGTGTTATTACTCACTGAGCTAGCGACTCATTCTCCGCTAAATTTTTTTACAGAGACAGCAGTTGACGCAGGCGAGGATTTCGTTAAGTAGAGCGCACAGGTTGATATTTCTCGGTGAGCCTCGCACTTGTTCGCGTGGGCAGAGATTTTATTTATTGTTATGGTCTTTTCATTGAACTCTTAGAGTCGCTCCATAGTCATTATTTTAGTGTCATGAGTATTATTTTGTTATTATGGTCTTATGTTGAGTATCGTTCTCATTTATCAAAGTTGGAGATAAATTAGTATTTCTAGTGGTTAGTTGGTGGTTTAGTTATGGTGGAGACTTGTATTGGTTAATTGATAAGTTGTCAATTGTTTGGTATGATATTAGGATGTTTGGTTGTTGATTTGAGACAGAAAATTTTTTGGGATGGTCCAAAAACAGGGGAAACTCTGTCCGATTATCTGTAAAGTTATCGATGAGGCTTACTTGGGAGCACTTGCTCCTAAGCGCCGGTCACAATCCTAAATTGGGTCGTGACATTTTATATAATATTTCTACTCAGTTATATACAACTACAATATCATACAACTTAAATATAATTTTTATATAACGTTGTTCAACTTTCATACAATAGTTAAATAAATAAAAGAAAAATATATAAACAACAGAATATAATTTTTCTACAATTTCGTAAATATAATGTATATCATGTCTTCTTCTTCTTCTTCTTCTTCTTCTTCTTCGAGTTTCAATCTGAAATTCAGCTAAAATCAAGTCGAATCTTCACCAAAACCCCTCAAAATTGAGATATAAACTCCAAACCATATTCCCAATTATTTGCAACAACACCCAATCCAAACAAATAATGATTTTTGAAAATCCAAATTCGAATTTAAAGCTTCAAAGCTTTCTAATGGCTGTCAATGGTGGAATTGCTGCTCTCTTTTCCTTTGCTTTACGTTACTGAAATTAGGAATTGAGAGATAGAGAGAGACGTAGAGAGAATTCTCAATTCTTTGCAACAATATCCAATTCAAACAAATAATGTTTTTTGAAAATCCAAATTCGAATTCAAAGCTTCAAAGCTTTTTAATGGTTGTCAATGGTGGAATCATGAGTGGGTGCAAGATACATGGGGGAGGGGGGTGGGATGTGGAGAGAGAAACGTGGGGGAGTGGAAGATAGTTAGAGTAATTTTAGGACACTAATTATTATCATTAATTCCCTTAAAATGTACGTAAATGGTAATTGGGGTATATAAAATGTAATTATAGTAAAACTTAAGTAGGGGGGTAATATAGTTTCATATAGTGTATAGAAATGTAAAAATTCCTTTCTTAAATCTAGCAATTTGGCCAAATCTAATATTGACTTGAATTCCATAAAATTTAACATGTTTAGAGTTTTTTTAAAAGTATTTTCTTATAACAAAAACCATAAAATAACGGAAAAATATTTCCCTAAAAAGTGACTTCCATCATTTCATACATCTTAATGTAAGTAGTGTATGCTCTTTTAGATCACGTAGACATTGTAAAATTGGATTATAAAATTGCAAAAACATGAATTCAAGAGCTTCAGTAACTCTTAAAAAACTTGTATCTTAGCTTGTCGAAGTAACACGAACTCTTGAGAAAATCCAGAAAAAAAGGGAAAGCCATGACCATCTTGTATCATGATGAATTTTTGAACTTTAATTTACTACAAACCCTGCAACTACAGCATAGAAGCAAAAATTATGCATTATAATTTATAAATACATGACCTAAGCTCAGCTAGCAAAAACAATCTGAATGAAATTTTCAGATTCGGTTAGCACATCACATGTCCACAATGAATGTGATATCCAAACACCAAAAATAACTCAACTCTATGATACACAAAAATGTTATGTTATTTTGTTAATCACAAAAAAGCCTACTACACATTTTTCATGAGCAGGGAAATGTACATAGACAACCTCAGGACAAGCAAAATGTGAATGCTTCTTTAGCAGATTGAAATAAGTACTAAATCTTGAAAAACTTTATCGCCAGTTGCCTGGTGCTGGTGCTGGCGCATAAGCTCCAGGAGGATAATTACCTCCGGCTGGTGGGTAACCAGGAGCCGGATAACCTTGTTGCGGTGGTGGTGGTTGACCGTAAGGCGGTGGTGCACCATATGACGGAGGATATCCAACCGTGGGCGCGTATGGCTGATCAAGTCGTGACATCTGCTGCACTGGTGGCACTGTCATTGGACCAAACTTGCCATCTCTTTTGTCCAATTCAATCTTGTGTTGTGTCTGCAATCTCAACAAACAGTAGTAAGCTTAAATGATAAAACTATTACAGTCAAACCTCTCTATAACATCCTCGTTTGTTCCATAAGAATACAGTTATAGAGAGGCCTGACTGTATATCTTTCACAATTAATTAAGTTTCGCCTGCTTACCTGCATGCATGCACAAACCCTGCAATCAAATGCAGCAAATTTAGCACAACAATTAATCTTGAGTTGTTACTGAAATAAATAGAGTGTGATGAATGTGCAGAGCTTACGAGTAGTAAACTGTATCAGACATGCATGTTAAAACATGAGCAAGCTCCTCAATTTCATCGTCTCCAGTAACTACAGCCAGAATTCTACATAGGCAAGCAAGATATCCGAGGACGACCATGAAAGCCTAAGTAGCAAGGAATTAAGAAATGTCTATTGATCAAATTGCATTCAAAATTATACTATGGACTAATTAAATGAGGAAGATTTAGAGGAATTACTATAATGCAATTATCACATTTTGTTGTTTTTATGTTGAGTTCATCTTGTAACAGGAACCGAGTTGAGCTCACTGATGTTCCAAAGCAACAACAAACCTGGTAGTTAAAATCAACAGATCAGTATTACAGCAGAATTAATTAATCACGAATATGCAGCATTTTTAGTGCCTGATTAAAATGAAGAAACAATTAATTTAATTTTCTGACCTCAGTTGCAAGGCAAAATTCAGGGCAACGACTTTCTCCGCATCTACCACTGCAAGGCATATAACCAGCGCAACACTTATACCTGTCGCAAACAGAGATTTGTTAATAAGAAAGGAAATCTACATAATGTATCTGTATAGGTCAAAATTTGGCATATCGATGATAAAGTATAATTAGGATAAAAGATGGGGTCGACCATCGTACGACGACTGAGGTTTGCTTTTAAGACGTTTGATGCCAAAGACGGGCAGCGGTGATATGGAGGCAACGGTAGCCTAAGTTTAAATCTAGACACAAGGAATATTCCTTAGGATATTCCTTGTTTGTACTTTATAAGGGTTTTGGCAAATATCCTTATAAATAGGAAGAGATACAGAACAAAAGAGGTAGGTTTTTCACTGCTAAAAAGGTACTTCTTGTACAGAGTTGACCCGAGAATATACGAAATTGTCCCATTCATTGATTATCTTGTTCGAATCTACATTTTTTGGTTCTATATTCGTGAGATTCGAGGATCCTAGAACTCTTTATTATTCCATTCATTCCACGTTGCTGTAAGGAGAAGGAATCGTTTGGATCTCACAATACTTGGGAAGTAATTCCTTCTTGCTGCACTAGTAGCATTAATCTATATTCATTGCATATATGTTGTCGCATTTATGAGCATTTAATAAGTTCAGACATATTTATTGACGTCTCCTGTTTTGTTTTGCACACTTCGTTTAGCATCCGATCTAGAATTTATTATCTTTAACTAAGATTCACCCTTCTTATCATTATTAATTGGTTCAACTAAAGAGTTTAACACTTTTTGGTCAAACGGTATCCTCTCTCCAAAATAATAGCCGATGAATGTATATATTCTGTATATTAATGTATAATATACATGTAGTATACATATTTTATACGTAATGCCATAACTAGTGTATATTTTTTTGTATATTTGGCTAGTGACTGTAATTATTTTTGACTGACCGATCAAATATGTTACTGAGAAAGAGAAAGTGCCTTACATACCTTCTCATATCACCATATAAAGCTCGTTTCCGAAGCAAATAGGATGCACATGGTGAACTGCAGTTGATATAAAATGGTGGAATATATTAATGCTTTCAACAATTCAAGAAAATTAAGGAAATAAACACAAATCAAGGTAGCAAATCAATAGCATTGGAGGAAAATAACAGAGGTAAATACACAACTCACCACCACAAGGCAAAACACCAATCTGCAAACAAAACATGAAAATTTAAACGGTTAGAAACACAAACAAACACATATATTTACACCTTTGATTCTCATATACAAAATACTCCATTTTGTTTCAAAAAACGAATAATGTGGCTTTAAATACTAGGATCAAATGATTCAATTCTAAGCTATATTGCTCGGACCCAATTCGAAAAATGTTGCGTCTGATCCTCTAAATATACATAGCTTTTGGTGGATCCAACACACATCGAGCGATTTTATTAAAGAGTCCGAGGAACATAGATTTTCACTATCAATTCAAACATATACCGTTATTATAAATAAATAAAAATTCACATATATCTTTTATTAATGAAAGCATTAGAAAAGATTGTTTGACTCTTCAAATAGTAACAGTGTCATATAAAATGAGACAGAGACATACATCCAGGATCAGATTTAATGGTGTTCAAGAGATCAGTGCGCCAGAAATTTTGATAAAATTCACGATTCTTCGCCTTATCAATGAGTGCTTGTGATGACGCCATTTTTTCTTCACTCTTTTGTTCCTCAACTATCTCAGATTTACTAATAAATATGAAATATGAAATTAAACCCCTTTTAAACTATTATTATAAGAAATGTTTGGACCTTCGTCGATGAAGACGAAGCGTCTTTTCGCAAAGAGCCAAAATCAATTCTATTCTCAAGTAGTGTCATTTATATTGACATGAAAGCAAATGTTACAAAACCGTCGAATTTTCTCCATTTTCACGGTGTGTCATTGAATGAATCTTATACACACAAAAAATTGGGAGAAATTCAAAAATAGCCAGATTTACCACTGGTCGTTGAAAAATAGTCAAGTTTCAAAAGTCATCGAAATTTAGCCACTTTAAATTTGAGTGAAAACACTGTTCAAAATCCGGAAAAATACGCCCGCAAATTTT